CGTTAGCCAAATTGTTAAATTTATGGATAAGGTTGGATAAAAAGAAAACGAATTAATAAATAAAAAAATATGTTTGCCAAATTATGCATGCGTATATATATATATATATATATGTAAATTACAATACATAAATTATACGTAGAAAGACATCTGTGTTTTTATAAAATTATTTCTCGTTATTTTGAAAACAATTAGAAGTAAAAAGAATGTGATTGCGAGTAAAAGCAAGGATGGCAGAAGCAAGCTATAGAAATATCGAGCGACCCGTTTCAGTTTCCCTTATTCTCGGTAACGATTTCGTGCAGTCCTATTTACGGCTTGCTACGCTTTTTCATTCCGAACGAAAGCGAGAATGGGAAAAGGGAAGAAATGAGAAGGGAAAAGAAGGAAAGAAAATATATAAAAGAAAAAAAAAAAAGTTAGCAGCAAAGTCTAAATATTTCTATACGGAATCTATAGGGAATGTGTATAGGATTAAAATGATTCCATTCTTACGATTGATATCTTTGACAACCAGAAATCAAAAGATAAATCTAATTGTAAGAAATTATGAAAAAAAAAAAAAAAAAAAAAAACGACTTTTAACTAAAGAATCGTAATTGAAAACAATCCGTTCTAAATGAATTGAAATTCGCACACATGATATAATACAAAATATATATACGCAAACGCACATGAACCTTGTTTTAAATATAAAATACAAATACATATTGACTAAGTGATACAACTTTGACGCGGGAAAACATTAATGATAATATATGAAATAATGATGTGTCTCTCTTCAACGATAACAACAAAGAGAACAAAAAATGGCGTTAATAAAGACTAATGTAATAATTTTCCATTCGTCTCATATTGTATGCATTAAATAATTATTTGAACTTTTTGCACGACAATTGAAATGACAATTAAATTTGCATAAACTATATTATTATTACAGGATAAAATTGATGAGTAATTTCCATACATACGTAAAGACGACCCACATTGCAAATTTGGAAATGACGTGCAGCAAGTTATTTAAGTACGTATCGTAGTTCCCGTACGAGCAAGTATATAACGTTAATAATATACATTAAGGAGATTAATTGACATGAATTGCAATTTACAATAGAGATTGGTAAACATTAACCGTATTTAAATGGGATTTAAATGCGATTTAAAGGCAATAAGCGAGTGTTTCCTTCGTATCGATCTTTCATTTTATTTTGTAAATTTTCTATTTTCTTTTTTGTTCGTATTTAAAAACTAATAACTGTATATCTCGAATGGAAGAAATATTTGCGTTTAAAATATCTCCACCAATCAATATATCATCCTTTTGTGAATGAAATATTAATCTCTATCCAGGGATATATAAAATTTAAATACCCGTGCGAAATGAAAGGAAAGAAATTCAAAAAAAAAAAAAAAAAAAGCGTGAAATGCAAATAAATATAGCATTAATTGTTTAATACATGTAAATAAATATCTTCAAAGGTAAATAATGAAAAAAGAATAGAAATATTCGGAATAATAAAGAGAAATAATCGTGAAAGACATTGCCCCCATAACGCAATATCGACTTTGCGTATGAGATTGCACGCGAGGTGCGAGGAGATATGTTTTTTTCAGTGTTCATTAGAGTCGTGGAGAAGGTATCCATATAAATATACATATATACATATATGTATGGACGTCCTGTTCCTATTATTCGTCACCCCGCGCCACTAGCTGGGCGCCATACATCCGACATCGTTTGGCACGTAAGCCACCGTTAGTTTAGAATTTTCTGACAAAATCGCGGTACCGACATCTGTCGAAATATTATTTTATACTGTTGATAAGTTAGAATTCCTACAAGTTTATACTATCGATATGACTTACGGCAAAAAAGTTGGCATAAAACCTGAACAGCAGAAAAAAAAATGAATAAAATAAAATGAATAATACTCTTATTAATTGCTCACTTTTTGTTTGTCCGTATTTCTCCGATCTTTCTAGCTCCAATATGATATCGGTTTTTTTTTTTTTCATCTAGTAAGTCTTTTTCCCTGTACCTGTTCCAAGACAATCGTTCTTAACGAGTAAACACCTTTAATTAATAATTAAAACAAAATATCTATATTAGATTTCTAATTGTTGTTTGTTATTAAATGTATATAGAATTTAATTACACATTCACTTTGTGTACACTACTTGTTATTAAAAGTTACTAGGAAATAAGAAAGTTTAAAATATTTTGAAATTCTAGTAACATTGCTAAGCCGATATCGGTAATAGTAGTGCTCTACCATTATCTTACCGACCGAGATTTTAAATAATTAATTAATAAAGTGTGCAATTATAGATTTTAAATATGCAATTAATGTACAATTAAGAGTACTTATTTATTTTTTTCTGCATGACTTTGTCAAATGATCACGGTCGGTAAAGAAGAAAACTATTAATTACCAACGCGATTATTGGATAAATAAATTTGTCGGTAAAATATACATGTATATTTTTGTTATCGACCGTTAGAAATAAAAAAAATAGTAAATAGGGTGCAAGGAACGATGACCTTTGCGTATACATCATCGAAGGGCCGATGCCCCCTGCTTTTCAAGGTAAGCAACTTTAGCAAGAGACTACATTTTTCGACAGTGCTATTTCCATCTATACAAATGCCTACCCCTTATCCACTCAAAGATGAAAATTTCAATGTTAAAGAGACATGCATAAGATTCGTATTAATCATATACAGGAAAAAGACCAAAGACTTACCCCTGAAAGGTATTAAAATGAAAATAAACGAGTCCTAGTCCATAAAGAAACGAAGCATCTTTCCAGTAGTCGCCTTTTAACGAATAAAATTTCTGATATGCTGACATGGCTGTAAAAATATATAAAATTTGACTATAAAATATCTCTCATGTAACGTTTATAATTATAAATTAATAAGAAAAAAATAGACAAACCTTTAGAATAATCTTCCAATAGCAAATGAAAATGACCTAATTTACAATAAGTCTTTGGATCAATACTAATTCCATTGTCTTCTTCATCGTCCTTTGTCTCCTCCGAATTTAATTTAATACTATCCGCTTTCCTACGTTGCTTTTCAGATTGCGCTTGGACCAACATTCTTTCTAGGTACTTAATTGCACGCACTACCAAAGCTTTTCTCTTTGTCTGCTCTGGTGCATTCAGTTTAAGAAATCCAAATTGTCGACTGTGCATATAAAGAAAGAAAAAAGATTTTGTTATAGTTAATAGAAGAAATAATGAAGTATAATAAAGAAAAGAAGAAAAGGAAAAAGGTAGAAAAAAAAAAACTAAAACCAACAAATCCGCAAAGTAGCAGTAAAATCAAGAATAGTTTCATGAAAACTGGTAGAAAATATAGATGATTAAAAAACATGTATAATTTGTATGCATTTGTTACAAATATGTCATTGTAATTTTGAATTTATTTAAACAATATCTATATAAAAATATTACAAAAAGCTCATTAAGAGTATTTACCACAAATCCAAAGTTAACTTTTTTCCATTTTTTCTCTTTTAATATAAATGCACTTGGATGAACTTATTTAAATATAGAATTATGTATTTATTGTTTGCCGGATAAAACGTGTTGAACAACAATAATTCATTCGAAAACTAAACTTTTACGCGCGAATTCAATAGATCCAATGATAAACGATCGAAAAGGAATGCCACAATAAATAAAACAAATAATGTTACTTCTCGCTTAGATCGTATCCACTGTAAGATAAACGAAGAAGCGCGCGAACTTGGCATTTAATGTTTCTTTTTTCAGATACCAACGTTAGATGCATAGATTTTCTTCGAATCGAACCAAACGAAATGTGAGCTTTTTAATTCTAAATTAATTATGTACTTTAAGATTACTTCAGGATTAACAAGTTGTAATGTAATGTATTTTAGTAGAAATGAGAGAGAAAGAAAGAGCGCATAGTAAGGTAAAAAGGATGTTAGTAGGTTGCTTGGTAAATAGGGAAACCCGAATTGAAAAGAGAAAGAGGGACAGGGGAGGAATCACCCGCTTGTTTTCTGTCAGATAGCCAAACTTTAAGGTTAGATTATGATTTTGTTAAAGAGATCTAATCCAAGTATATATATATATATAGAGAGAGAAAGTACAACTAAATATTGACGTATAAGATTAATCACTTTTCTTGATTATGAACATTAATTGTCGAATCACCTGTCTAATTCAGATAATATCTGTAATTCTTGAGGAGTCAAGTTGATATCGTCCGTTTCCTGGGCCATTTTTGTGCACACTTGTTAGATCAACGAAAACACCGCACACACGTTAAAGAAGATCGTTCGAAGACATTTTTTCATGAAAATCCAAGCTGAACGATCAACGTCCAACGTTGATAAGATCGTTTAACCAATTTGTATCAAAAGGAATGTTATTTTGTCTTTCTTCTCTCGGAGCGAATGTATTTCTATTTTTCTTCCTTTTCTCCTCTTGTTTCCATTTATTTATTTATTTAATCTCTTTTTGTGTGTTTCTTTTTCGACGCACCAAAGAGGTTACAAAAGAACGACAAATCTCGCGACGTAAGACTGTCTTAAACACGGGATCGTTTTTAATCTAGTGAATCTCTCCGTTGCGCCAGATATGTAGCTACTTCCACGGCGTTCATTGGCTCCTACTCAAATAGATATGATACTTAATGTTTCTATTCTATCATTTTTCTTTACCAGAAATATCTTTGTTTATTATTTTATCCTATCTTCTATTTCTACTTTATTCTCTTGTAATATATTTCTTATAAATTAAAGATAAGATATAATAACATTATTAAAGATCAAGTTATACATCGTTTAAATTTCCCGCGCTTTTAACCGGACGGTATTATAGTTAATACATTATCGCAACGTATCAACTAAATATGTTCTTTCGCGTTTAAAACCCTCCTCGATATTCGGTTAAAGTCTCATTCTAACGCTGTCAGTTCGCGCATCTGATATCAATCGATCGATTATTATATTATTATCTTTTATTCGACGATTAGGTGAGCTAAACGTGTAATTAAACTAAATGAAAAATATTATTAAAAATAATCGATTGTTGTCATTATTACACATTACATAACAATTTGAAAATCTACTCTAAATATTTGTGTTATGCCCAAATTGTCGAAAAATTCAATTACGTCGGGAGCAAGAAAATTATACAAACGGTATAAATAATATTTGCTCTGCTTTGTTCTCACTCTTACAACGTATTTAATTAGAATGAAATATAATATTTGGAACATAGTTTGTCATTTCTTTGTTTCATCTTAAGAGGTGTAACATCGAAGCTTTATTCTATTACTATATATGTCTATAACTCCGTCATTGATATATATTTCTTTATTCTGTCATTGTTTTTCATCTAATCGAGTTAAAAATAGTATAAACAAAAGCTATATAAATAATGCATGAGAGAAATTCAAATTGTTTTATTCAAAATCGATTTTCATACATACATATGTATGAAAGATGATTTCACGATTTATTTCCGCATTATTGCGTTTGTTTATTTGAAATTTTTATTTATCGTAAGCCAAGCATTGTTCTAATAATCTATACGATATTTATAGTGCTAAAATGAATCTTCCTGGGGATAAAAGTAGTAAGGAAGGCACCAGTAAAGAAATATGTACGTTAGATGTTTCAAAGGAAGCCAAAAGCTTTTTAGACAAAGTCTTAGGAGACGTAGGTAAAACTTCAGCTACCAAACAGATTATAATTGGTACGACGTCTGGATGGTAAGGAAATATATACCGCATGTAATTATTCTTATTTAAATAGTAAATTCCGTTTTTCTCGCATTTAGGATGACTGGTTTCCTTACTATGAAAGTCGGAAAAGTTGCAGCTTTTGCTGTCGGCGGCGGTATCATTATTTTACAAATAGCTGCACATCAAGGATATATCAAAGTTAATTGGGACAAAATTCAAAAGAAAGCTGAGAAACTTACGGACAAAGTAGAAGAGAAAATGACTGGGGAGGGTCCTAGGTTCATAGATAAGGTAAATTAAAAAAAAAAAAATATATATATATATATATATATAAATGATCAGACTATTTAGGAATGCTTTTCTTCATTAATTTATAAATAAAATGTATATTTTGTATTCTTATAGGTAGGGGCATGGTGCAGGAAGAATTCTTATGTGACAACAAGTTTCCTTGGTGGTTTCATTATTGGCCTTGCATCGTGAATCTATAAATAATATCCAAATTTTTTATGAAGATATAAATCTTGTATATTCGAATTTCTATAAGCAATGCTGTGATTCGAGGGCATTTTTTTTCTTGTTTGTTTTTCTTCCCTTTCTATATTCTTCTTTTTCTTAAATATCATTTTTATAATACAAGTTGTAAAAATGTTTTAGCATAGTATAGTTTTGGAAAATAAAGTCGCGCTCGTTCGGTAAATGATGTGGTTTAACAACAAAATTTATATATATACATATATATAAATATATATTATATATATATGTATATAATATTATACACATAAGTATATTTCGGCATTTAAATAAAAAGTGTAATACAATAACCGTTTTATTTTACTGTCTAATTATAATTATATAAATATAATTTTTTAATTCTATAGAAAATAAAATGAAGTGTCAATGCGTTGCCAAAAAATATTGATACATCCTAAAATCATAAATTGGTAGAAACGTATAAGGGCAATAAAGATATTTCTTGTTTCAGGTCGAGAGATACGTTGATAAAAAATTAGATAAAGCAGAACAACTATTAAAAAATGGAGAATCTCGTACAAGACGCTGGTATCACTCTATAACTGGTGATTCGTCATCTTTCAAACCCACAGAATTCCATTTCTTCTTAGCTTCTTTTACAGTAGGCCTCGCAATTGGTATGGCTACAGCAAAGTAGGCAAGAACTTGCTTCACTTTGAATGTTAATTGAATATGTAATGTTTGTTTATTCCTAACAAAGAAATTTCAAACGTATAAACATTTAAATCACAGATACGAATTACTGTATTTCGGTAGTAAAATATCGTCAAAGTAATTATTAAAATATGAAACATTACATCTTAGGAAAATAACTAAGTCATTATTTAGTATTATAAGATTATAGATCTTTTTTTTCTATCTATAAAATATACATCATTTAAAAAAATCATTTCCCAACAAGAAGCCTTCAAACTACTTGTAGCAAAAGTAACGATTTTAAGATTTAAGACATTTGTATATTAACGACAAAATTTTCTTACACTTTACTTTTATAAAAATAATATTACTAATGCATATATATTGATTTTAACTGAATTCTATGTATATTTTTAAGATCATATAATTGTCTTTGATAAGTATTAGAAAGATTAATTTGTTCTACACGTAACCCTGGCGCAAACATTTATTTTCAATCTCTTAATAATATCAAATAATAAAGCGAAAGCTTTTTATTTTGATCTGTCTTCGCTTAATAATAAGTATTATGTTTGAATTGTGCATAGATTTAATAGAAAGAATATTGTTGAAAAGAAAAAATAATTTAACGGCAATTCTGCTAAAGTGTAATGAAAATATTGAAACAATTGATTTATGGGTTTATCGCGTACTCTTAAACATATTATATAATTTTTCTATACATATAAATATGTTACCAACGATATTAATTCATTGTGCATCTGTCGGATGAGAAAGTCAAGCGTTACTAGGCGACGAAACAAAACAAAAACGAAAAGAAAGGTAAAGACAAGAAAGGGATGATCGAGAACAACAGTCAATACCTTGTACGAACACGTAGACAGCTAATTGCGTTGATACTGACCTTCGTATTACCAATATTCGTAAATTAGTTTGTCTCTATATATCATTTAATTGTAGACAGTTATATTTCTGCATTATCATGTATCCATATATTAATTACCTTTAGTAATTAACTGTATTAATTTTCATGCTTTTACCAAGTGATTTTCTTTCTGTTATCATTTAGTTAATTAAATAGACTTTTTGTTCTGACAGTCTATTCAATCAGCCTGTGAAATGTAACAAATACATTAAAGATAGTACTTGTAATGTAATTTATGAAGAAAAAAATGAGATTTAAGATATCTTAAATTATCCAATCGTAATCAAAATTACCATATGATACTGCCATTTTCTAATTTACATTAGCAACAATGGTATGTACTGTCTTACATTTATAAGTGTATTTTGATAATTAACGTGAAAAAAATATCCGTTTTACTTAATATTATATCAATTTACTAATGAGCCGATGAAAATAGAAATAAATAAAACAATATATACATTGGTATATAAAATAATCAAATGTTATTATATTACTTTCATTTATTTTATTTTGTACGAATGTTCAAAATTGTTTTAAGCACTTCATTATAATGGCTCTTAATCTTCTCCTGATTTTTTGGTCACCGTTGCAAAAGATATGAGTTGAGTTATCTCCTATCTGAATTAAAGTATCCTCGTCTTGCTAAAAAAATAATTACAAAAGGACTTTAATCAAGAGGTAAATTGAATATTGATAATAAGAGACATTATGATGATCCTACCAAATGAATACTAGTAGAGGTCGGACTATGTTGTAATTTAGCACCTAAGATTCCTTCTTGATTAAGTTTTAAAATCAATTCTTGAGGATCCAATACACCATATTCGTGCTTTCTTTCCTTAAGAATTTCTTCTTTTATTGGTGCTGGTGATCCTTTACGTTTACAATTAGATCTATCTTCTATGTTCTGTGCAAATAATATATTTCTCGTTAACAGACTTTTATTTATTATTTTATATATATATATATATATATATATTAATATTTGTATGTGTTTGTTTTTCGGTACCTTTATCGTATATACATTATCTTTCACTTCTAATTCACCAGTAACCGACGCGAGACTTAATCCTGGTCTAATCTCATTTAAAACAATATTTCCAGCCAGTTCAGGTTCGATAAACACGCGCCCTTTCTTACGTTTTAAGGGTAATTTTATAACTTCACTCCGTTTGAAAGTAATTAATGGCTTTTCCTTGAATAAATCATTCATTAAAAATAATTTTTGTAATAAATAGATATAAAATGAAGAAAGCAAAAATTGATTTAAGTGTGTCTTACTCCAACAGGTTCAATAACAAGATCTGTCCTATGTATCGCAGTTATTGGCGGTTGAGTATAGCATTCAGGAATAACTAAAGTTTCTGGTTTCAAATCTCTAATTAATTTATTAGCTTGGGTAAAATTAAGAGACGTATCTATTGGACAATGAACTACTTTCATTGCCAATGGTTGAAATGGTGCAAGCGCATCTAAATAAGAGAAGTCAGGCTCTGGAATAGAAAAGACAAATATTTCCTGTTGAGATATAGTCATTTTAATTTCTATTACTATTACTTATATCATTGATATATACCTGTGAAAATAATCGTATGTTGTGGATTACTACCCCACAATTGAACAAAGTGTACAGCATCTCCAAATCTTAAACTAGGATGACCGCAAAATATAACACAAGGTTGCCTGTAATCCGAACTAAATCCTTCCGCATAGGTAGAAGTGTAATGTTTGAGTCTCGCATTTTTAACAAGAAATGCATGAGGGAAAGGTTCTTCCGGAAGGTAGACTTTATTTTGCTTATTTGTTGAAAGCCTGAAATGATAAAATTAATGAAATTAATAATAAATAATGAATATGAATGATAAATGCTATTGAATGTTAATACGTACCATTCGGCCAAAATATTTGAGTAGGCTAAGGAAGTTTCTGCTACAGGGGAGATAAAAAAAAGAGGAACTTGAGAGAATCCAGACTTATCCAAATGAGTACTGAGGCACTCAAATAAATCATATACCACACCCGAAGGATAACATGGTATCAAAACACAGCCACCTGATCTGAGTGTCATAGCTAAAAGAAGTATTACATAAATAAATGTACATAAACAAGTTATTATTATGCCTTATACTTACCAACAGTCATACACAATTCGCCGAGCATCGTGTCCGGATTAGCAGTCGGCGTTTGAGTTAAACCTGTCAATATTAACATGTTAGCATGCTTCAATGTAGCTTGTTCCATAGGTCTTGGATGAGTCGTTAATGTCGACGAACCGCTTACAAATGCAACTTTTTCGTGATCGCATGATATCAACCAATTACTACTACCTAGACAATATCCAGAACTTATTGGTGTAACTGTCAATGCGCCGTATATATTCTAGAAAAAATATTTCATTGTTGTATCATTTTATTACTATATCATGTAAGATTTCGTTTCTAAGATTCCGACATTACCAATTTCTGATCATATCCAACCAATTGAATGTTTGACAAAGCAGAATTTATAGCTGACAAACCATATATATGCCTCCAGGATTTTGGTTTAAGAGCATCGGCCAAGGGAGGTGGTAATATATGTAATAATTCTTTCCAATGCTTAGCCAAAGTTGCTCTAGGTGTCTGTTCTATAAATTCTACTAATTCTTCCATAAAAAATCTTCCAATTTGTAATGTTGGTTCAGTAGCATAAATTACCCCTTTAAAACCAGTACCTTCTGTTACAAATGGTAATGCAAGCATGCAAGTATAGTTTGATATTAGAATAGCATCGATTTCGGAAAAATCTACTATTTTTTCAAGAGGAGGAGAAAATTCTGGCGTTGAATCAACGAATACTCTTCCACAACATTCTTTTAGTTCCTGAAATCGTATATGTTTTTATTTAATTTCTTAACATATTTATATATATATTTTAACATTTATATATTTATTTAACATTTAAACCAACCCCTTCAATTTGCCAGTCTTGATGATTATCTCGTGGAAGCCAATTAGGTAAGGAATTGAATTTTGCACTTGGAACCATGGGTAATGGCATGAAATGTAAAATAGATTGCATACTTAATCCACAATCCAGCATCAAAGTGATCCCTTTGAAACTTAGAACAAGGCATGGCTTTGTTGGTTCATTTGATAAACAATACTATGCAAACATAATATAAACATAATTACAAAAAGAACAGCAATTTCAATATACGTATGGAATATATATGCATGTATATCTATATATATATATATATCTATATATTGTATATATTGTGTGTGTATATATATATATATATATATATATATATATAGATACGTAGATAGATAGATAAAAATAAATAAAAAAGTAATAAATAATTTCCTTCCGAGATAGTTATTTACATATAATCCAAGAAAATATTACATATAAAATAATAAACAACAATAATTACCAATTTCATTATTGTAATCGAATTTGGATTTATTTTCAAGTCCTATATCGTTCAAAGTGCGTCCGTGTTTATATATACAGGTCATTGAAGCATTAAGTTTGACTTAACCTCTTCATCGTGATATTTAATTCGTATACTTTGGAATTTTCTTTTAGTAATTATTTATTTCAACTGTAATGTAAAAAGAATTATTTGTAGTATCGAAAAAATTATTTTCCTTATACGCGTTTGTATTATTTCAATAATAAGAATAATTGGAAGACAATGTGCGAAGTCAAAGTTTTGTCTAATGGATACTCCGAACAAATGGATGATAGAATAATGTGCGCTAATTGTTCGTGCACTTTAATAAAAGGACCAAAATTAATTATTGTCGATACTATGACTGCTTGGGATCAGAAAAAAATTTTGGAAGGTATCTATCATGGAGAGCTAATTAATCCTAGTTATAAATATATTTGAAATAAAAAGAAAGAAAGAAAGAAAGAAAGAAAAGAAACCAAACAAATCGATCAACGCGTGATTTTAGCTCTTAGTCGTGAGAATGTAACACCAGCAGAAATTGATTATGTTGTATGTACACACAGTCACCCCGATCATATTGGAAATAATAATTTATTTACCAATGCAGAGCATATTGTAGGTCATTCTGTACAGCACGGTGATTTGTTTTACGAAGAGAATCTTAAAAATGGTACGTCTTGAATAAAGAGAAAATCTAACTTTCGTTTGTGTGATTATATATTAATACTATTTCATTTATAGAAGAATATATTCTATGCGATGGTGTTAAAGTTCTTGCAACACCAGGCCATACATCAGAAGATATTACTGTATTAGTTCAAACTAATATTAATGGTCAATCTAGTTGTGTCGCTATTACAGGTTTTTCTTTCATAATTATTATGGTTTTAATATTCATATAGGATTTCATTCTGACAATAAAGATGTTTTTCAGGTGATCTGTTTGAAAAGGAAGAGGACATTGTAAATCCATTAATTTGGAAAAGTCTCGGTCAAAAAGAGTTACAAAAAGTTCAATCTTACATGCGCTCACGTATTATTAATCTTGCTGATTTTATAATACCTGGACATGGTCCAATGTTTTCTGTTACAGATAAAATGAGGCAGATTGTTGATAGTCAAGTGATTGAATGATTCTACAATTAAAATTGAAAACATTTAATTCAACGATTAAATTTAACCACACAAATCGTTTACAATCTTATTTATTTTTACAAACATTTTATTAAACATTACATAATGAAGTACATGGTATCACAACATTATTATTTCTATATATTTTTATAATGACAATTGCATGCCAAATTATATTTATAAACAAGACAAAAAGTACAATGCGGTAAGGGCATATTGACCATTGGCTCATGTAATGTATATTAAAATAACTTTCTACATAAGAAATTGAAAATTGTTTATAAAAAAAAAAATATTAATTAAATATTATTCCAATATTCTCAAGAAATTTGCATCTAGAATTTAAACTATGTATAAATGTTCACAGCCAACATCAAAAATTAACAATTTATGTATTTCTATTTGTCATTTTAGAAGTCTTATACTTAAACTTATGTCGATAATGGATAGCCTTTTTTCTTTTTAAAAAAGAAAACAAGAAAATTCAACTATAATAAGTTCTATAATCTATATGCAAAGAACAAAGTTAATTGTTATATCTATATCGTGTGTCAGAATTTCCATTGCATTCATTTCCAGTTGAATGTACTTTCTATTTAATATATATATATATATACTTTCTATTTAATATATATATATTAAATATATTCACTCACCATAGTTGAAATATTACTAATAATATTTGCAACTGTAATGTATTAACTCACATACACAGATTAAAAATTGATACATTTTACAAATGATATACCTACACTTTGAACTAATGCTTTTCTTTTTTTAATATTATCACTTAAAATCACAGAACGAATTTATCTGTAATAATCTTATATGTATAAAATGTATCATATATAATAAAAAATTATTATATAAGAGGTATTTTTACTGTGCATCTCGTTAGATAAAGTAAGCCCTGCACTTGATATAAAATAATGATTGTTCATAACAGCAAAATCTATTGGTAATTTTGTAAAACAAAATGTTTTAATTTTATTTCACATCTAAACACATTTAAATGTTTATCCATTAGACAGATAAAAGACAATTTATGTAATTTATTGTTACATATATGGAAAAGATCTTTACATAATAATAAAAAGTTGACCACCAGGACCTCCACCGAATAATGAAAATGAATCGATATACAAATGATATATTAGGAGTTACATTCATGACACTTTCTTTCTTTCTTTCTTTCTTTCTTTCTTCTTTTTCTTTTATTTTTTACAATTATATTCTAAACGAAATTTGTTGTCTTTTCTTCTTTTCCATTTTAAAATGAAATATTGTTTTAGGAAATAGTTTTTATAGAAGCTTTTCCAATAAAAATTGGATCGGACATAAGCAGTGTTTTCGTTTTGGCAATAGAGAACTTTAAAACTTTCTTTTGTTTAAGTGTTATGAATTCATTAAAATAACATATTTTTGTCCGTTGCACATTTAATAATATACATTAGCGAGAGATTAAAGTAATTTTCAATATTAAGTAATTTTTATAAATGTCTGCCGATCAAACCTGGCAGGGCGACGCGTGTATGCAGTGGTACTGGTCCCGGACTAACTTCTCCTGTCACTGTTCCCAGCTGCCCCATAAAGTATTAAATACATCAAGAATTTACTTGAAATTCTTATTAATTATTTAACATTATACATCGGTTACATACATCAGCATAATTATATTTTCACATTCAATAAAACGAACGTGAAATATAAAAGATCGTATTTACAAAAAAAGTATAATAATTGCTATATTAACGTTTGTTGAAAGAAATTTTAATAACAAATTTTCATTGTCAGTGAAATAGGATAATGTCTAGTTATTATCGTTTAGATGATCATCGTTAATCAATATCTTTTTGTGCTATTAAATATGTAATTAAAAAGTAAGTATATTACGATATTTAAAAATTATTCTATAATATTTTATAAGAAAGAAATTAATTTATCTTTATTTTATTTCATATAGTTGTACTTACATACTTACTATAGACTTACTATAGACATATTTAATGGCACAGAATGTAAATAAATATTTTTAAGGACAGAGGATTTAAAAAACATATTCATATATGTACATTGTATGTCGTACGGAACCCGTACATCTATGAAAAAATTAAAATAAAAAGTATACAACTTAAACAAAAATATATAAAACAAAAAAAAGCCAAACAAACAAATGAAATCTCTAGTTTTCTACTATTTTTTTTTATAATCCCGATATGAATGTGTATCACAGAGGAATCAAACAAATTATTTTTATCTTTAACCGCGTTTGAATTCTACGCGTCGCTTTCGCGCTCTTCAAATTTCATGTCGAAAAAACACAGCGCATTTTGTTTTAATTCATTTCATTTTTCTTCTATATAATCTAAATAATACATGTTGTATTTCGTTGTTACCTATTATATATATAATAGTATTTTATTAAAATAATATTACAAATTAAAAATATGAAAAATATATTTGGAGAATAAACAATGTATAATTGAAAATAACATTTAGCATTTAAAACATTAGAGTTTTTCAAAATATATTAAAAAGAGAGAGAGAGAAAGATAGAGAAAGAAAGAGATGAACTCCTTTTTTATATTATACACAAATTAGATGAGATATTTTTCTTTTTAACATTGATTAAGAAAAGCGCTATTGCGCTGCTTGGCTTTTCTCGACATGAAATAAAAAGAGCGTCATAGCGTCGCTTGAATCTTTTCGCATCTCATTTAAAAAGCTTTAAACTAAAATTAAACCATTCAACTTTTGTTTAACACTTTTTTTTTCTACCATCAACAGTTTCAAAGATATTTAAGTGGATCGATTTAAATGGGATACTCTGCATATATAAACAATAATAAAATAAATAATTACCGAGTTACATTAATTATAAATTACTAATTAACATAATTTCATTACATTATTATGTTAATAATTGCATATAATGATTATTTTATATTACCAAAAATATCCTCTAAATATTATCTAAACGTTTAATACAAAATAATAGTAAAATTCTAATTGGAAATATAAATATCGTGTACAAATTGAAATTGATACCAAAAATTCTGACGTAAGCTCACGGGCAACTTTTACCGGAATTCTAGGAAAAAGCTTGTTATTAATGCAACTTAAAGAAGTTTGTTATAACAAAGAATGAAAAATGGATGGATAGATAGAGTAAGTGAGCGAGAGAGAGAAAGAGCGAGAAAGAGAGAGAAAGAAAGAGAGATAGAGAGAAAGAAAGAGAGAGAGATAGAGAGAGACACGATAATAGAAAGAAATATAGCATAAGTTTTTTCATTAAATGTAATTATTTGCATGAAAAGTATGTTATTATTCTAGTACATGTTATTACATTCAATATTTTGTTTAGATCGACACAGAATCGAGTAGCAAAAAATGCAAATGTTTATAAATTAATGGTATTTATACGAACACTCCTTGCATGATATTTAAGCCTGAGATGAAAAAGATTATTCTTGTCAGGCGGCATGCAAGAAATTAATATTAAATTAAATATTAAACTATAGATTGTTAGAATATATTAGTCGAAAAAAAATAAGAAAAATAAATAAATAAATTCAGTCAACATCTCTATATTAAATACATAATATAATAAAAAGAGTTCACGAGAATAAAATAATCTAAAGTAGAGCAGGAACTGTGTATTAGTGTTTTTTTAGAACAACTTTTTCTTCTTCTTTGTATTATTTTAAATGCCTTAAATAAAGATATTGTTAAATGCTACTTTTGTGAACAATATAAAAACGTTGATTTACTTTGTAAATTCTCGTACACGTAAGACTGACTGATTGCATATTTTAGGCAAATATTGCCTAAACAATAATATATAGAAAATTATGTTTAATGTTCAATGTAATTATATGTGACTTGTACGTAACTCAAATTACAAGAATATATATATATACATCAGAACATTTAGAAGTGTTCAGTACTATCTATTATATTAATACTTTCCCAAAAATCACAAGATATAATTATATATGCTTACTAATACAGACAAAGATCTTAATAACTAAATTATTTACTCCTATTTTTCTTTTTATATAATTTATATCAATGCTATGCTTGTACTACTATTCATTCAGGAAGCTGACAAAGACATAAGTCTAATAGTTGTATGTTAAATAACAAATAACTCGGTAATCATGTATGTTACGACGTTTACATCGCTCAACATTTTTTTCCCTATCAGAGAAAGAGAGAAAGAGAGAGAGAAAGAGAGAAAGAGAGA